GACGAGGAGGCGACTCGTCTTCGCGTGGAAGGACACGAGGGCCGAGGGGTTCACCAGCGTCTTCCACACCCACGTCACCGGCCACGCCCCTCCGTCCGCCGGGAACTGCCAGGCTGCAACAGGTCATCGTGCATTCGTCACGTACCGGACCTTTCCCAAAGCACCGCTCCAAGGAATGCGGATGGAATGGGTGAGGAGGGGACCGGGGACCTCTAAAGATTTCCTCTGACGTGCAAGAAGGGTAGCGGCTTCGGTCTCTCCTCCTACTTCCTTCGTGGACAGGTTTCGAGAAAGCTTAATCGTGTGATGCGACGAAGTCACGCGAGAACAGTCGACGTCCGCGCCGTGACCCAAACTATAAAGTACTCTGTCCCGTCCTCCCCTCCTCCCGTCTCCCCAATTATCCCCTATTATCAAGAATTCCCAGAGATTAGAAAAATCCAGATGGAGGCCTAGCGTCGAAATGGAAAGGGGCACCTCAATCGTCAATCGCTCACTGGCAGGATTGGAGTCCCAGACTCAGTATGCTTCCCCCACTCCCTCCCCCCATCGACTCGAAATTTCCGCAATTTAGGCGTCCACTGCTTTGTCGTCGGCTCTTCGCTGCACCTCCCATTAGACTTTCCTCTGGTTCGTGTGAGTCATTAAAAATATCAGATTTTGGAAGCAATGTCAGCGGATGGCAAGAGAAACGCATTATGAGGTCGATCTTTTCTTTCGGCTCGTTTTCAAATGGCGTTAGAGTAAAAAATCGGTCGAGGCACCGGACTCTTCTCAAGCTAGTACGGTTCTGTATCCTGACCACTCGCTTTCGTGGGAGAAATCGTAGAATCCCTAGCTGGTACCAAATTTTATCAAGGCGGGAAGTTCAAGCATTGCCACCTCCCACAGAACGTATCATCAAGGAAAAAATGGGCAAAAACGTGAGATTTTCGTCTTCCGAAACGGAAACTTACAGGAAGGATACGGGAAGCCTTGGGAAACCTGACAGAGAGCGGCCATGGGTCCGATTCCGGGGTTGGTCGTCGTATCCGTCGCCGCAGTCGTTGTAGAGTCCGTCGTCGCAGTCGTTGTGGAATCCGTCGTCGCAGTCGTTGTAGAATCTGTCGTCGCAGTCGTTGTCAAATTTATAGTCGAAGTCGTCGTCATCGGATCCGACATCAAAGTCGTGGCTGTAATCGTCGTCGAATTCGTCGTGGCAGTCGTGGTAGAATCTGTTCTTGCAGTCGTTGTCGCATCGCCACCGCACTCGACGGAGCCGACTCGGAGCATCTCGAAGTCATACACCAACACCAGGCACGATCGGCTCGGCGGAATCCCCGCGATCCCCCAGGCATTGGGGTCGAGGGGAGAGCCGTCGAACCAGGACCAATTGCCGGTCGGAATCGTCCAGCCTCCCAACGCCAGCGGAGTCCCCACTCCTGTCAATCGTAAGGGAATCGAATTAGGAATGAGTCGTTTCCGACGAATCGCGGACTTCGCGAGTCGAAGCGAAACCGTTTCCGATTCGAGTCCCACTTTTTCCAATCGTCGAATTACGATTACGGACGATCCGCTGCAGTAATATTTCTGAATATGAATCTGATCCGAAGAAGCTGACAAGTCTCGACTTGCTCGTCCTGTCGCCTCGGAGCCACTCATACCGGACGGAAAAGTACCGGGGATTATTACATTACAGGAAATATGAAGAGTTCGCATCTTGAAGTTGTGTGCACGGGATTACACGCCCCGAAAACTCCACCACATTTTGGGTTTGGATTCGTTTTCTGCATGCCACGTTGATCTCATACGGGAGCATGCGGTCACCAGTTCTGCCATCGAGTATGAAAATTTCCTTTTCCATTTTTAAGAAAAGTCCGCGAATCCCCTAAATGATCTCTGGTATCGGTCTGTGGCTCGATCGAAGATTACGCCGGGAAAAGAGCACCTGCTTCTAGAAAAGGCTCGCCCTATTCACTGCTTCGCCTATTCAGTGGTTTCATATGCAGATGCCATTCTATTGGCATCTGCATGCGAAGCCACCGAGAAATAGATGGACTGCAGAGCACTCTTTATCCGTAAACTTTGCCACAAAGACGACATGCGTGCGGCAACTCGGAATCTCCAGTCGTCCGATGCACAAGACAATTCAAGAAACGTGTCGATTCCAAAGGATCACGTGAACCGAAGCGAATGACTCGACGTGCTGCGGCCCTCACAGGGCCTGGTCCATTTTCGAGAATTTTGATAGACGGATATGACGGATATGACAGACGGATATAGACGGTTTATGCCTGGCTGTTGATGTTACACCTTGTTCCCCAAATGATAGAAGCGTCTACGAAGATCGAGGACTCGCCGACTCGCACTCGGAAGGCAAAAGGCTTAATTCGTACTACGTGCATGCAAAGCAAGCAACCTCAGAGACATCGATCGGTATCTGCGTTGAGCATTCAAACGAAGAAGAACGGAAAAGTGAGACTGTCGAATGATATGCCTCCTCGATGGGGACTCAAATCAGTGAAAATATGGATTCCCCCGTGTTGACCATGCCTGACTTCCAGTACGGGCAATACGGCTAAATTTTTCGTGCAAGGCTAATTGACTGAAGGGTGTCAATACGAAAGCTGGATTATATCGGTCACTGCGTCATCCTCCAGCACCAATCAGGAGGCATCGATCAGAATGGTACTAATAAAAAATCAGATTCCTCGATGACTTACGGCCTTCCGATTGGTCATTTTTCCTCATCGCCAGAACCAATGAGATCCCGCATTCCCCGCATGCGCCACTCGCGCAGACCGATCGATTCGCTCTCGAATGGATCCTCACCTGCGAGGGAAAGGACTCGGGCCATGTCCACTTGAGGGGTCGTGTCGTTCAGGGAGACGAGGGTGGACGATCGTTGCATGCAGTAGAGGGCAGCCTCGGTCCACGTTTGGAATACGAGGCCCGGTGAGGCGAGGTAGCAGTTCCCTGCTTCTGGGATCCACTGGAAATCCGGGGGACACGTCGCAGTCCATTGCTCTGGGGGATTGGTAAAACTCGTTGTCTCTCGGAGGCAGCAAAGGAATTGAGATTTATAATTGGGGGGGGGGGATATTGGCTATTGGTTTGACGTTCTTAGAGATTCTCTTCATGGATCAAATTTGGAAAAATCCATACTCGAATGGACCATGTCTGAAACCTGAAAGGGAATATGTTTCCGGGAACGAGGATCCCCGCCGCCCCCTCAACAAAAATATTTTCCTGTTGGGAACTATATCCCCTCAAGATCACAATTGCCAAGAACGGCAACAAGTCGGTGAAAAATATATTAATTCGTGGCTAGACCAACAATGCTGATATTTTCCGCCTTTCTTCCGCGGTGCCGAGCCGAAGCGGGTCGCGCGGTCTGGTGACCAAGAGGGCCTTCCCCTCTTGGTCACCAGACCGCTCGGTCCAGTGACTGAGCTGACACGATCGAATAAAAGGTCCCCTTCTTTCGGGTTCCTTCTCACCTCCAACAGCGTTCTTTCCTATCATTTTCCTATCTCGGCTCCCTCACTCGAAGTCCCTCAGAACCCGACGACCCAAGACCGAAACTCGCAAGCAGCACGCATATCCATTCTCGTTTCCGGTCGAGCAAGCCAACCGATTCCGCGACGGAGCATCGAGGAACCATTACTTTCATAAGCCAACATTAATTGTGCGTGAGTTCTCCCCGAGTGGCACGTTGGTGCCGGATCACTAGCCGGGAGGGGACCAGGTGCATATTCGATTGGGCATAATTCCTATGCATTTTCCATTCGACTCGATTAGTCTGGAGCTCTAACGCGATAAGGAGGCTCATATAACACTCCAGTCACTAATCATCCTCTATTATTGGGTGTCTCATGAGTTCCCGGGAAGAACGAAATGCAATAATAATTCTCCCTTCGTCCATTCGTCACCTGCTGCAGCGTAACATGTAGGCGAGAAGAACGGTTGTGTGAGGGAAATCCGGTCATCTTGATGATCATCGTTAGACTTGCCGTGACTTGCCGTGACGTGGGCTGACGGGGGAGGGATGCTGAATCGACTCGGACTAGGGTCCCGTTTCGTTATCTGGTTCCGGGTTATTTCTGTTCGGTTTGGGCCGAGTACCCGAGAGTGCTGGCTGAAGCCTGACTTGTTGGATCCGGTTGAACCCAGATTCTGTTCCTTGTTGGTTGAAGCCGGAAGGAACGATTGGAAACAAGCAACCCCTTTCGATTGCATTGTGTTAGCCAGGATTGCAAATAATCACGAGATGAGGTGCGAAGGGTACGACATTGAGGTGAGATGGTTTTTTTTTTACTGATCTTAGCTCAGAATTTCACTGTTGTTTCGCGGATTGAAGCTGTCGCACTCGTTTGGTTGCGCTGAGAACATTCTGTTTCATTAACTGATTATCAATATCCCTGGAGATCTTGTATTTTGAGTTGTAAGTTAGGTAGTATAATTAGAACAAATATCTGTGTGAAGCATAGGAGTCCTTGCCCTCGGTAATTTATTTCGTATCGACTAATACGAACCTTTCCAAAGGGAACAAACTCAATCAAATAGTATCGACAAGGCAATTTGTCGGTAAGACCGCGAAAACCTCTTGCATTTAAGTCTTACCAGCCTATCGATAGTTGCCCACAACTGCGATGCTGTGGTTGGCCCACTTCACGCAATCGCAACGCGACACGAGGCGATGAGAGTCAGCAGTACCGAAAATACGAAAAATAATATATAAATAAGGGATGATTGAAAGATTGAGATCGATCCACTCCGCACTTCCCTATTTCCATACCCTACTGTATTACTATACTTAATGTCAAGATTCCATATTTTCCTGAGTCATACATTGCGATCAAAGCATAATTCCACGGTTTCCTATTCGTAACTTGCACCATCGAAAGAAGAAAGGGGGAAGGAAACACTTTTGCTAAATCAGGAAGGCAGGTCCTTGATTGCATTTGAAGGTTGCAGGGAACATTTGTACCAACTGACGAGAGTTCTTGGTATTCGCGCCTCGAATCGAGACATCGAGAATCGTTTCGCACGGCAAATGGAGTTAATTAACTGCCTCCCTCTTGCGGCGTCTTCCTCGAGAGTTCTTCGGAAGGGGAGAGGTGGAATCTCATTACTTTTCCCTCCTCCCTATTTATTTAGATCTCTCACTATTTTCACCCTTCTGTTTGCGTTCTACTTTGTTCCCCCCCCCCGCCCCCTCCCCCCCAGGAAGAGAGCATGGGTGCATTCTCACGGCTGCCCGGCCGGACGCGCGCGTCCGCGTCCGACCCCTCGAAGAGCCCGTAGTCGGTGACCACTCCCAGCGTCGAGTACCAGCTGATGTAGTCCAACCAGGCATCTTTGTTCCGCCACCACTGGCAGCAAATGATCACCTGGGTCCCCGACACCTTCACGTAGAAGGTCTTCCACAGCCCCAATGGGGAGATTTCCGTGCTCTGCATCGCAGGGAGCAACGACTTTTTAAAACCTGCCCGTAGCATATAACATAAGTATAATTATTACGTAATTAAAGATAATATCAAATTACAATAGTACAATATAAGTACACGATGAGAATGTTGTACAACAAAATATTATAATTATTATAATGCTAGTAATAATATAATTACTGACTCTATGTTCTCCTCCGGAAGACTCAACGCGGAAGGACTTTGTGTTTTGCATAATGGAAAATTGACATAAGCAGAGCGTGCAAAGAGTTTCAAAGCCCCAAGGCATCTCAGAGAAGCCATTCCAGGAAATTGCCGCTCTGATCGAGGCATACTTTATCGCCGATATGGGCTCGTGGATTCCTCGTCCGGCTGCTCGATCATCGTCATGAATATATTAGCAAAATCGTCGCAGATTTCGATGAGATGCTGCGAATTCATCGATCGGGCCTGATGAGTTCCGCGCGGATGAGAATTCGACGACGATTTGGGACACCAGCCAAGGAAGCGGCATCGTCATTTTTTTTATTATCAGAGGCGTTGTCAAGAATATTTTTTTTTTTTTTTACCTGAAACGTTTAACGCCGACAGGGCATCAGGTTGAATTTCAAAAACTCCCAGACCGTCCGAGTGTAGTCGCGAAACAACCGGAACCATGAGAGAAACTCAAGAATTTCATGAAATCTGAGTCGCCTTCAGAGAAAGACATGGCGAGGAATTACAGCAGTGGTTCCCGATCTTTTTTTATTTGCGGCACACATAAGGACGCATGAACTTTCCGCGGCACACCCAGCCATTTGCTTACTTTCAATGGGAAACTCGAGCTTGCTTCGATGAACACAGCAGTTTGATACGAGGCGTGATAGTGCAACTCGAAGCTCGTTTTCCACTGAGAGATGGCGTTCCCTCTTGCTTTGAGGTTCTTTTAGTTTTAGGTTTTTAGTTTCTTTTTTTGTCAACTCTCAAATCTCACGGCATACCTGAGCCTTTCTGGCAGGACACAGTTTGGGAAACACTGAATTACAAGACTCACCTGATAGGAGAGGCAGCCGTAGGGAACCCCAGAGAGGCCACTGGGGACATTGCAGAGGGTGATGGCGTCGGGCCCGATCGAGATGAGGACCAGGGTGCTCGCCTTCGACGTGGGCAAGGTC